GCATATTATAGAAATAGAGGTGATTTTGATTGGTTTTACTATGAAAAGAATCTTGAAATGGAGCTCAAAGTAGGGGAAATGTTTGATTTTTGCCAGTGTTCAAAAGTAAACAAATAATGTCATTGTCCAATAAATGTCCAAGTAGCCATTCTAATATGCAGTCATGAATGGGTTGACATTATTTATACAATTATTACAATATTGCAGTAGTCTGCATAACAGTAAACCTATTTTTTGTTTGAAAAAAAATTCAAAAAAGAAAGCAAGAGTAATATCAGAGGGGCCTGGAGACGTGACTGATGAACAAAGAAAATGTTATTTTAGAGCCAGGAATGTCTGCATTGTTCATTATGAACCATCTTTTGAAATTGTCATAGTTTTTAATTTTTGTGAAATTGGCCAAATTTCAAATTTCTGACCATGTTATTGGGTAGTTGAAATTGGTAAATGGGCAGTTTCTTGTACTCAGTCGATAGGAAAAATGAAGTTCTAAAGAAATAGCTATGAGTTTGGTCGACTGGAACAATGGAATTAGCCGAAAATAGGGCTCAAAGTGGGCGAAATCGCTGATTCGAGGCCGCTAACTTCGCGAGAGTGTAAGTCCATCAGTTTTCCATCAAATTTCATTCTTTTGGTGTCATTACCATCGGGAAAAGATTCTCTATCATTTCACGAGAATTTTTTTTTTTTTTTTTTTTTTCAAAAAATTTTTGACACCAGGAGACACCTCAGGATTTGGGGTTTCAACAGTCAAGGGGTTAAGGAGGAGTACTGCATCCGACCTAGTAGCACAAGCTAGTGAGGTCCAACTCACACACATTCACACCCACTCATGTATTTATCCTACCTATTTTTAAAACTACACAATGTCTATGATAGTACTCAGGGAGTTTGTTCCACTCATCCACAACTCTGTTACCAAACCAGTGCTTTCCTATATCCTTCCTGAATCTGAATTTTTCCAATTTAAAGCCATTGCTGCAAGTTCTGTCTATGTTAGATATTTTTAACACTCTATTTACATCCCCTTTCTTAATTAATTCTTGTTTTCCATTTATACACCTCAATCATATCCCCCCAAATTCTACGCCTTTCAAGAGAGTGCAGATTCAGGGCCCTCAGTCTATCCTCATAGGTAAGATTTCTGATACATGGGATCAACTTTGTCATCCTCATTTGTACGTTTTCCAGTGCATTTATATCCATTCTGTAATACAGTGACCAAAACTGTGCAGCATAATCTAAATGAGACCTAACCAAAGATACATATATAGAGTTGAAGAAAAACCTGAGGACTTCTTTTATTTAAACTTCTTGCTATGAAGTCAAGGATTCTGTTAGCTTTATTGTGAATACTAGTGCACTGTTGTCTTGGTTTTAGATTAGTACTACTAACCAGAACTCCTAAATCCTTTTTGCAATCTGTAATATTAAGATCTACATTATTTAGTTTATATGTGGCATGGTTATTTTCCTTTCCAACATTTAGAACTTTCATTTGTCTATATTAAACTGCATCTGCCACTTCTCCGACCACTGCGTGAGTCTATTCAAATCGTCCTGGAGTGCTCTGAAGTCTTCATTAGAATGAATTGGATGGCCTATATTGGTGTCATCAGCAAATTTCCTTAGGTTGCTATTTATTCCCTCATCTATGTTGTTTATGTAGATTGTTAACAACAAGGGGCCCAGCACTGACCCCTGTGGAACACTACTTGTGACATGCCCCTGTTCTGATTTCTCCCCATTTATGCAAACTCTCTGCTGCCTATTCGTCAACCATGCCTCAACCCAGGAAAAAATTTCTCCTCCTATTCTGTGTGCCTTAAGTTTCCTGAATAGCCTCTGATGTGGAACTCTATTGAAAGCCTTACTGAAGTCCAGATGCACAATATCATATTCAATACCATGATCTACCTCCTCAAATACCTTAGTGAAGAAAGTAAATTCGTAAGACAGGAACACCCCTTCGTAAAACCATACTGAGATTCATTAATCAATTTATGCCTTTTGAGATGGCTACAAATTGCTTCAGCAATTATTGATCCCATAAATTTTCACACTATGGAGGTAAGGCTTATTGGTCAATAGTTCAAAGCTAAGGACCTGTCACTTGCCTTGTAAATAGGTAATACATGTGCCATTTTCCATTTATCAGGCACTATGCTAGTTTGCAGTGATAAGTTGAAAAGATTAAGATTTGAGACACTTATGCAACACATGGGAATCTTTATTGAAGAAACGTTTCGCCACACAGTGGCTTCATCAGTCCAATACAAAGTAGAAATGGGTAAGGAGAGGAGAATTATGAGGTAATCAATCCCTCAACCTGGAATCGATGTGTTCAGTCCATCACTCTTGTAGGAAGCCACTGTGTGGCGAAACGTTTCTTCAATAAAGATTCCCATGTGTTGCATAAGTGTCTCAAATCTTCAACTTGTCAGTTTTCAAAACCATTCATCACACTTGAAAAGAATAGCCAAAGGTATGCTAAGTTCCTCTTTACATTCCTTTAACACCCTTGCAAAGAGTTCATCAGGGCCTGGGGATTTGTTAGGTTTTAATTTCTCTATTTGTCTGAGAACCATACCACTAGTTGCCTAAATCGTGCATAGTTTATCATCGTCCTGCTCTACATAATCTATTATTTCTGGAATTTCGCTAGTATTTTCCTGGGTAAAAATTGAGAGGAAGTAAATATTGAAAATTTCACACATGTCCTTATCACTGTCAGTGATCTGACCTGAGTTACTCTTAAGTGGGCCTATCTTGTCCCTAATCTTACTTCTGTATACCTGAAAGAACCCTTTTGGGTTAGTCTTTGAATCCCTTGTGCCTTAGCCTCATAATCCCTTTTTGCTTTTCTTATTCCTTTTTTTTATTTCTCTCTTTAATTGAATATATTGATTTCTTAACTGCCCCTCCCCTCTCTTGATATGCCTTTATATGCCTCTCTTTTGCCAATGAGATGTTTTAATTTATTGTTCATCCACTTGGGATCATTTTTGTTAGATCTAATTTTCCTACTCGGAATAAAAGTTGTCTGGACAGCTAAAACTATGCTCTGAAAAACGTCATATTGGCAACCAAGACCACCTACCTGACCCATAGTCAGGACATCCCAATTTAGCCCACCCAGGTAATTTTTCAGTCCCACGAAATTGGCCAAGCGAAAGTCTGGGACAGAGATTTGATTGCAGTTATCTGGGTAACTCCATGATATGACTCATGAAATCGTAATGACACAATTGCAAACAAACCATACCATGGCTAACGCGAAGGTCTGGAGTTTTGAGACTCTGATCGCGGGTTCTATCCCCGCCCGTGGTATAGTTTGTTAACTCCATGTTATATTGAAACTAAGTGATTTGTGATCGCTTTCCCCATTAACCTTGATTCTTTGTTGGCAAGAACCAAGTCAAGGAGATTGTTTCCTCTAGTTGTCTTTGCAGAGGCGCTCAGATAAGACAGCTAAGATGTCCCTCCAGACTGCCAATATCCCAAACCTCTCATTCCCATTTCCAGGAATCAAGTCCAGCTGGAGTATACCTGGAATGGGTTTCAGGGGTCAACGCCCCTACGGCCTGGTCTGTGACCAGGCCTTATGGTGGACCAGGGCCTGATCAACCAGGCTGTTAGTGTTGGCGCACATTAACCGATGTATGAACCACAGCCTGCTGGTCAGGTACTGACTTCAGGTGCTTTTCCAATGCCTGCTTGAAGACAGCCAGGGGTCTATTGGTAAGCCCCCTTATGTATGTTGGGAGGCAGTTGAACAGTCTTGGGCCCCTGACACTTACTGTGTTGTCTCTTATTGTGCTAGTGGCACCCCTGCTTTTCATTGGGGGGATGTTGCATCATTTGCTGAGTCTTTTGCTTTCATAGGGAGTGATTTTCATGTGCAAATTTGCTACTAATCCCTCAAGTATTTTCGAAGTTTATTTTTTTTTTTCAACAAGTTGGCTGTCTCTCACCAAGGCAGGGTGACCCCAAAAAGAAAGAAAATCCCAAAATAAGAAAATACTTTCATCATCATTCAACACTTTCACCTCATACATAATCACTGTCTTTGCAGAGATGCCCAGATACAGCAGTTTAGAAGCATATAGTATAAAGATGTATAACATATCCCTCCAAGCCGCCAATATCCCAAACCCCTCCTATAAAGTGCAGGCATTGTACTTCCCATTTCCAGTACTCAAGTCTGGCTATATAAAAATCACTGGTTTCCATGAATCCCTTCACTAAATATTACCCTGCTCACACTCCAACAGCTTGTCAGGTCCCAAAAACCACTCATCTCCATTCACTCCTATCTAACACGCTCACACACACTTGCTGGAAGTTTGCTGGAAGTCCAAGCCCCTCGCCCACAAAACCTCCTTTACTCCCTCCCTCCAAAATTTTCAAGGACAACCCCTACCCCGCCTTCCTTTCCCTACAGATTTATACGCTCTCCAAGTCATTCTACTTTGATCCATTCTCTCTAAATGACCAAACCACCTCAACAGCCCCTCTTCAGCCCTCTGACTAGTACTTTTATTAACTCCACACCTTCTCCTAATTTCCACGCTATGAATTCTCTGCATAATATTTACACCATACATTGCCCTTAGACAGAACATCTCCACTGCCTCTGGCTGCCTCCTCACTGCAGCATTTACAACTCATGCTTCACACCCATATAAGAGTGTTGGTACCACTATACTCTCATACATTCCCTTCTTTGCCTCCATGGATATTGTTTTTTGTCTCCACAGATCCTCAATGCACCACTCGCCTTTTTTCCTTTATTCACAAATGTGTGCAGGAGTTTTGTGTTTTTTTCACACACTAACCATACTATGCAAAGCATTGTTGTACTTACTGGGTGTGTCTGCCTGTTCCATGTTTTTCACATCCTTGTTCACATTAATTGTAATACTGTACCCTTTTAAATGAAGGTTTAATTTGGTGGCCATTTGTCTTGGGTTAATGGTAACCTGTGTCTGCTGCCACAGGTGTTTGAGCCAGACACATTGAGTATTGGGTCAGTGGATAACCCTGGCACAGTGCAGGAGGAGGATGAGGACCCTACCATAGATGACATAGAACATTCAGATATCACCAATGTGGAGACATACAGTGAGAATTTCACAGAAAAAGAAAACATCAGTCATGAGGATACAACACTCACAGAAATGAAGAACAGGGAGAATTTGATGAATGATGAAACTGAAAATAATAAGATTTATGCCAAAGAGAACCTGAGACAAGAGAGTAAAGAGAGTGACACAGCAGAGGTTGCCAGCCCTGTAAGTAGCAATGTCTCAAGTTAGTACTTACTATGCTGCCTATTACAGTACTCAAATGTAGATACTAAAACTATCATTTAGTATCATGGTGCAGTTAAGGTAAGTTAGGGTATATAAGTTCACCTTTAGTTGATACATTTGATTTTGAAGTACAGATGTTTAATATAAACAAAGATGCTGTTATATAATTTTCCTTTTTCAACTGGGATATAGCAAAGCCAACAGTACTTACTCAGTTAATGATCATCCATTGGAATCACTGCAGACATAGATATTTCCTAGATCTCTCAATCACAAAGACTTTTTGTAGGACTGAAGATCAAATTTATGAGCAGGAGGATTGCTGAGATAGGATGTTATGTGAAGCAAAACAACATAGTTCAGATTTTGAATTAAATGATTGTATGCAAAGAAGTGGTATAAGGCTCAAAGGTTCCCAAGAGTAACAGGTATGCAAGTAGCAGTAGAGGATAGAATGGAGTAGGAGAATAACTATTGAAGATCATATGTTAGCTCAGGTACACTGATAAAACTAATAGTTTTCCTTTGTATTTTCCTAATGCTTTTTGGTAGAGGGTTTGCATTCCCAGATGTAAGAGTACTCTAAGCAAGGTGGTAGAGGAAAAGCTCCCAAAATGTGAGCAGTGTTTTAGGTAAGGTAGAGGAAGAGCTTTCCCAAATGTGAGAGCAGTACTAAAGAAAAGATGGTAGTGAAAGAGCTTACTCAGGTAAGAGCAATACTAGAGAAAAGGCAGTGATGAAAGAGCTTACTCAGGTAAGAGCAATACTAGAGAAAAGGCAGTGGTGAAAGAGCTTACTCAGGTGAGAGCAGTACTAGAGACATATTGGTAGAGGGAAAGTTTCCTTAAATGTTGGTTATAGAGGCAGAGCTTCCCAGAATGTTAGTGCAGTACTATAAACAATGGCATATGAGAGATGTTGAGAATTTTGAAAATTTTTGGAAGTACTTTTCCCATTTGCATAAATGTGAGGGGTTTACAGGACAAATAATAGTTATAAATCACCAACTTTTTTATTAAATAGCCTTATTTGGCACTTCATCCATAGACTGTATTTGAAAGTCAGCAGTCATCAAGCACAGTCATGGATCTCTCCCCTTCCTTATATAAAGGTGACCCAAATACAAGGGGTGATGTAAAGCTGTTTATCCACAGGAATTTCCTTTAATGTAAAATACAGAAACAGTGTTTAAGTAGTTTAAAATTTAACTAGGATTACAAAACTGAGTTGCTGTTTGGGAGTTGGGTTAATATTCCACAAGTGTCCCTCTGTTCTTGTGTAAATTTTTGATCCAACAATGTCCTTAGGACTGTCACAACCCTTGCCCTTGAACCCAACAAACCTTAGGACCATTGCAACCAAACAGTGACCCTAGGGTTGTCCCAACCAAACTACAGCCCTACTCAGCAGTAACATGCAGAAGTTTATTATGGTTTAGTTTTCAGAAAATATGTTATGCACTCATAAGATTAGGGGGAGGGGGAAGATTTTAGTTATAGTTTGTGTGGAAAAGGTTGTCTTAAAGCTTAATGTATGGTAGTGTTACATTTCTTCATTTGCAATTGTTACAGAATTAGTCTAGGTTTCAGGGGATCTGTTACATAAATTCATATATTGTACAAGGTGCTTAAATTGTTTCTTTGTGCAGACTTGTGTGGTAACACCTGATGAGGGTGTAGAAGAAGGTAATGATGCCAATGACCTAGATGCAGAGCTCATCCCTACCCCAACTGAAACAAGTAAATAATTTTAGCTCATGGTTCATCATTAATATTTTTTTGTACATTATGGGATATACCATTTTCAGAATGACAATCCAGACTAGCCTCCCAAATTAGACTGTCATAGACTCCTATTTCTCTTCAGTAAATCTTGGCTTAGTTTTTGTTATTTCCTAGTAGACTAGTGTTTTGTGGATTCTGAGTGAAAGGATACATGATGCCATTAACTAGGGTTTATTAAAATAAAATAGGATTCTAAGTGTGTTTCATGGAGAGCCAGTCCAGATTCTGGTACTGGCAATTATATATCCCACACACTGCCAACAGTGATTAGATGTAATTTTGCAAAAAAAGAAAAAGTGGAGTTATTTTATATAAAAAGTGAATAAAGCTCAAAAGTTTCTATATTGACATGTCTTGTGTAATTGATGGTCCTTATGAAGACTTGTTTGCTGTTCACCAGGAAAAATTAACTTTTTCAGGTTTATTATTTGCAGTTGGATAATGGTGTTAGCTATGTATGTCTTTGTGCTTATCCTTTAAGGGTTAATGAGCATTGTTAGTAATGAGGATATCAGTTAATATCTACAGTATTTTCTTCTAACACAAAGAGTGAACATAATTTTTGGTAACAGAACCAATACAGTAGTTACTTGATTTACCCCTCATAGAGGAATTTAGTTTTGAGTTATGATGAAAAATTGGTAATATGATATGCATACAGTGGTTAATGTGCATTGGTGGGCCTCAAGATACCAGTGATGTGGTAGCTTGCCTCTTGGGCAGCATCAGACAATAGGAGCATCATTGGGGGTGTGTGTGGTGGCGGCTTTGCAGCCAGTCAGTGATGGGAATGAATATCTCTAGGGTAGCATCTTAGTCAGTAGCAGCATTTGTACTACAGTTTATTGTTTCCTGTTCAGTTTAAAGCTACCATATGTGTTGCCCACACCAGCTCTGGAATATTTTCCCTTTATAACTGGACATGATCCATAACTTGCTCAACCTCTGGAGGAAGAATTTAACTCTGTTACAGTAAATTCCTCCTACCCAACACCGCTTCTCTTCTTCAGGAAGTAATTGTGAATTTCAATAAGATTTACACCTAGAAAATGTTTGCCAAGTGCTTTGCAGACTTTAGGAGATGGAGCCATCAGCCTTAAGGAATTATTGAAGACTAACTTTAACATCTTAGATTGTGTGAAGCTCATAGTATACTCCTGGAATGAAGTTTCCATTTGGTGCCTCATTGCAGCCTGGAAGAACTTGTGGCCTTCTGTTACCTATGACTTTGATTTGAGGCTGAGGAAGATGTAAACTAGGAGACTATCACTCTTGATGAGGCAGTTAGACTGGGGGCAGATGAAAAGGATGTGGAGGATTTACTTCAGGACCACAGACAGAAGTTAACAACAAAAGAGCCCGAGTAATTATGGAAGATGGATGAGAAGGACAGTGGGGAGGGAGTAATGGAGGAAAATAACAATAGAAATTTAGGAGTTATATACTCATTGAGAAGGTGTGAAAAGAATCATGAGAAAGCATTCAGACATTGAGAAAACTGAACTTACTTCCTGTGTTTTTGAAGATAATGTCTTATCTTATTTCAAGAACCCCAGAAGAAAGCGACGGAAACAAACAACTTTGGACAGTTTTTCAAGCGGCAATGCTTGAAAGGAGTTTCTCTTTCTAACCAGTAACCCCCTCTACACCCTCTTCCCCACAAACACACCACCAGCTCTTCAAGTCCAATGTACAGTAAAAGTTGCATGCACTTCTAATATTATATTATAACTCAAGGGAGCATATTTCTATTTTCATTTATTGAAATAGACAGAGGTCTCAGATGTGGCTGTTGATAGTTCATCTTACCGTCTGGGTCTTACCTAAAGATCCCCTAAACAGCCCTTAAATTAGATGTAGTTCTGCTTCATTTTAACAGACTCAGTGGACAAAATGACCATATGACCTGTCTTTGAAATACAGTGGACCCCCGACTTTTCTTTTTTTCTTTTTTTTTTTTTACAAGTCGGCCATCTCCCACCAAGGCAGGGTGACCCAAAAAGAAAGAAAATCCCCAAAAACAAAAAATACTTTCATCATCATTCAACACTTTCATCTCACTCACACATAATCACTGTTTTTGCAGAAATGCTCAGAACACAACAGTTTAGAAGCATATACGTATAAAGATACACAACATATCCCTCCAAACTGCTAATATCCCGAACCCCTCCTTTAGAGTGCAGGCATTGTACTTCCCATTTCCAGGACTCAAGTCTGGCTATATAAAAATAACCGGTTTCCCTGAATCCCTTCACTAAATATTACCCTGCTCACACTCCAACAGATCGTCAGGTCCCAAATACCATTCGTCTCCATTCACTCCTATCGAACACGCTCATGCACGCCTGCTGGAAGTCCAAGCCCCTCACCCACAAAACCTCCCTTACCCCTCCCAACCTTTTCAAGGACGACCCCTACCCCGTCTTCCTTCCCCTACAGATTTATACGCTCTCCATGTCATTCTACTTTGATCCATTCTCTCTAAATGACCAAACCATCTCAACAACCCCTCTTCAGCCCTCTGACTAATACTTTTATTAACTCCACACCTTCTCCTAATTTCCACTCTCCAAATTCTCTGCATAATATTTACACCACACATTGCCCTTAGACAGGACATCTCCACTGCCTCCAACCACCTCCTCGCTGCTGCATTCACAACCCAAGCTTCACACCCATATAAGAGTGTTGGTACTACTATTCTTTCATACATTCCCTTCTTTGCCTCCATAGATAATGTTTTTTGTCTCTACATATACCTCATCGCACCACTCACCTTTTTTCCCTCGTCAATTCTGTGATTAACCTCATCCTTCATAAATCCATCCGCTGACACATCAACTCCCAAGTATCTGAAAACATTCACTTCTTCCATACTCCTCCCCAATTTGATATCCAATTTTTCTTTATCTAAATCATTTGATACCCTCATCACTTTACTCTTTTCTATGTTTACTTTCAACTTTCTACTTTTACACACACTCCCAAACTCATCCACTAACCTTAGCAATTTTTCTTTAGAATCTCCCATAAGCACAGTATCATCAGCAAAAAGCAACTGTGTGAATTCCCATTTTGTATTTAATTCCCCTAAATTTAATCCCACCCCTCTCCTGAACACCCTAGCATTTACTTCTTTTATAACCCCATCTGTAAATATATTAAACAACCATGGTGACATTACACATCCCTGTCTAAGACCTACTTTTACTGGGAAGTAGTCTCCCTCTCTTCTACACACCCTAACCTGAGCCTTACTATCCTCATAAAAACTCTTTACAGCATTTAGTAACTTACCACCTATTCCATATACTGTACTTGCAACATCTGCCACATTGCTCCCCTATCCACTCTATCATATGCCTTTTCTAAATCCATAAATGCAATAAAAACTTCCCTACCTTTATCTAAATACTGTTCACATATATGCTTCAATATAAATACTTGATCTACACATCCCCTAAACACTCTGAAACCTCCTTGCTCATCCGCAATCCTACATTCTGTCTTACCTCTAATTCTTTCAATTATAACCCTACTGTACACTTTTCCAGGTATACTCAGTAAACTTATTCCTCTATAATTTTTACAATCTCTTTTGTCCCCCTTCCCTTTATATAAAAGGACTATACATGCTCTCTGCCAATCCCTAGGTACCTCCCCCTCTTTCATACATTTATTAAACCAAAATACCAACCACTCCAACAGTATTTCCTCCCCTGCTTGTAACATTTCTGTCATGATCCTGTCAGTTCCAGCTGCTTTACCCCCTTTCATTCTACATAATGCCTCACTCACCTCCATCACACTCACATCCAGTTCTTCTTCACTCCTAAAAGATGGTATACCTCCCTGGCCAGTGCATGAAATTACCGCTTCCCTTTCTTCGTCGACATTTAAAAGTTCCTCAAAATATTCTCGCCATCTACCCAAAACCTCCATTTCCCCATCTACTAACTCCCCTACTCTGTTTTTAACTGGCAAATCCATTCGTTCTCTAAGCTTTCTTAACTTGTTTAACTCACTCCAAAAATTTTTCTTATTTTCATTAAAATTTCTTGACAGTGCCTCTCCCACTCTATCATCTGCTCTCCTTTTACACTCTCTCACCACTCTCTTCACCTTTCTTTTACTCTCCATATACTCTACACTTCTTATAACACTTCTGCTTTGTAAAAACCTCTCATAAGCTAACTTTTTTCTTTTATCACACCCTTTACTTCATCATTCCACCAATTACTCCTCTTTCCTCCTGCACCCACCCTCGTATAACCACAAAATTCTGCCCCTCATTCTAATACTGTATTTTTAAAACTATTCCAACCCTCTTCAACCCCCTCACTACTCATACTTGCACCAGCCCACCTTTCTGCCAATAGTTACTTATATCTCACCCGAACTTCCTCCTCCCTTAGTTTATACACTTTCACCTCCCTCTTGCTTGTTGTTGCCATTTTCCTCTTTTCCCATCTACCTCTTACTCTAACTGTAGCTACAACTAAATAATGATCTGATATATCAGTTGCCCCCTCTATAAACGTGTACATCCTGGAGCCTACCCATCAACCTTTTATCCACCAATACATAATCTAACAAACTACTTTCATTACATGCTATATCATACCTTGTATATTTATTTATCCTCTTCTTCATAAAATATGTATTACTTATTACCAAACCTCTTTCTACAGATAGCTCAATTAAAGGCTCCCCATTTTCATTTACCCCTGGCACCCCAAATTTACCTACTACTTCCTCCACAACATTTTTGCCCTCTTTAGCATTGAAATCCCCAACCACCATTACTCTTGCACTTGGTTCAAAACTCCTCATGCATTCACTCAACATTTCCCAAAATCTCTCTCTCTCCTCTACACTTCTTTCTTCTCCAGGTGCATATATGCTTCTCACATCCAACCTTTATTTTACTCCACATAATCCTTGAATTAATA